TCACATAATATCACAAAATATTATAAAAAATGTCATAAAATCACACAAAATCAATAAAAATTAGATCACAACACAACATAAAATTGATTTATATCACACACAAAATTTACTTTATATCATTACAACAAAATATTGTCCCTGATGCGGACAGACATACCTTGCATCACAATGTATCTAACTGAAAATGTTCTCAGCTACACTTCGAACAAATAATTAATAAATATTTTTTATTTTTTTTTACCAATTGTAAAATTCTTAAATACATATATAAAATTTCACTCCAGATTCACAACAGTAGTAATTATTACATGTATCACAAGAACAAGTAATTACGCAAAATAATTTATTCTCAAACTTTCTCGCATATTCTCAAAATTGTGTAGCATCTTGATGATCTTTACATATGGATTATGAATAGCATTAAATTCTTTAAGGAGAAGCTGTTGATCAGATTTTCATGATGTGTTCATATTAACGTAATTTTCTCCAAAAGTGTATTCCAAAATCAATCCTGTAAATTTTGCTTTCAGATATATTACACTTCAAATTTTCAAATAACTTCTGTTTGATACTCATTCTTAAGAGTTTTTTTGAATATTTCAAACTCCAACTTTGTGTCTACGTTAATTTTTTCTTAGATTGTTACATTTTCTAGACCGTTAATTTTTCGTAATTTTCGCAAATAAAAGTAAAAAAATGCACTTGTCATCTGAATGTCTCAAAGATCTTAAATACCTCAGTAAGACAGACCATTTGTGTTTCCTTGTGACAATATAACAAATATAGTGTAACTTATGTTCGTAAAAATATATAGTCTTTTGGGAATAATCAGAGGAGCCATCACTTATGAAATTCTTAAATTTCTAATTACACATACAAGATTTGGAAGATGAGGTGATAGAGTATAACTGGTATAAAAATGAACTAAAGGCTATAAAAAAGCATTATGCCGAAATATCTGACATCGGGCAGAAGGTGATAAAATGGTTAAAAGATTTCAAGATATCATTTATTTATAACAATATATAGTTCTTTATATCTTAGCAGTGTGGGAGTGTAAGGCACATTGTTAAAGTATATAATTCACGAACTACTTTGCGGACTGCTCGTTCATAAGGGAAAGACTACTTGTTTGTCTGGAAATTATAAGAGTATATAGTAATTCACAGACTACTTTACGGACTGCTCATTCATAAGAGAAAGACTGCTCATTTGTCTGGAAATTATAAGAGTATATAGTAATTCACAGACTACTTTGCGGACTGCTCATTCATAGGGGAAAGACTGTTTGTTTGTCTAGAAATTATAAGAGTATGTAGTAATTCACAGACTACTTTGCGAACTGCTCGTTCGTAAGGAAAAGACTGCTTGTTTGTTTAGAAAAAGTTACTTACTTCTCTGTGGTTAGATCTATGTTCTTCCTTATATGCAAAGTAGAATAGTTTGTTACTAAATCATTATTTTTTCAAAAATGATAAGAATTCGAAACAGATAAATCATTTTTGGGATTTACAAGCTAAGAGTCAAAACATTTACATAGAGAAAAGTTGCTTGAGGAGGAAACTCAGCTGAGTCAAGTAGGTTAATTTCAGAATTTGATGGTTTCTGTTTTGACAATATTTACTAATTTTTTGAATTAATTTGATGAAGAATAAACTGGAAAATCAGATTTATCTTGAACAGGTTTGTATATTGTGAAATATTATTACTGATCTTTATATTGCTATACTGAAGATTAGGTCTATTTAGACTCAATATATTCTTGATGTAACAAGAAAGAGATCTTTACTACAAAGAATGATCACTAACCAATTTGAAAATATGCATCAGATAATACTCTTCAACCCATTGTATCACAAATAAACAAGAATGAAAGAAAATGGCCTGCAGAGGAAATCTCTTATACCATAACCACTCTTCCAAATCTCCCTCCATCAGTTGAGGAAAAGGAAGCTGATAACCAATTTTTTTTGGTAGATCTTTGTTATAAAAGTTCTTGAGATGACAATGAAATTTTTTAGCTAGATAGAAGTTCAAATGTAAAGCTTGTTATAAAGCATCTTCAGTTTTCCAAAAGGATCAGATTGTAAAAGGGAATGAAGATACTTTATACGAATGTCGTCAGCATTGTTTAACTCCAGAAGATAAGGTAGCCATCATGTTTTTTAATGTATGGTTTTCTAGAAAACATCTTCTCACTTCTCAGATGCTTTTGCAGATCAAAACAGTCAACTTAGATGAGATCCCGTCTGCAATGACAACAATTTCATTATATGTTCCATCTTCTTCATTATCAGCGTTGAAAATTTGCCCTAAAAAAATGATTTATAAAGTCATTAGATTTAATTTTATATAGATTATATTAAGAAAGATCTTGATCAATGTATTGCATTAATTTGAAGGATTTGTAAAATTCACTTGATTCGCCTGTTTTTTCTATATTTTCTATACAGCCTGTTTATTCTGTTTATTCTGTTTCATCCATAATTTCTTTAACGTCTGTAATTTATTTTATTTCTTTTTATTATTTTTATAGTTTATGTTATTTATATTATTTTTATTATTTTATTATATATTTTATTGGAACATATATCTATATTTAGTTAATTTATAGCGTAGCAAGTAGTTAGCCGTAGCAAATTCATTTT